CCGCTCTGAGACTCCTTTGGGTAGTGAAGGGCCATGGGGTAGAAATCCAATCTCCTCCTCCTCCTCTTGCAGTGTGGGAAGTCCTTCAAGAAGCGCTACACCTTCAAGATGCACCTCCTGACCCACATCCAGGCCATCGCAAACCGCCGGTAGGGCACAGAGTTGCATTTGGAGTGTGTGTGTGTGTGTGGGGGAGACAATGGTGCATAGCCTAGGGTTGCCAACCCTGGGTTGGGAAATTCCTGGAGATTTGGGAGGTGGAGCCAGGGAGGGGAGGGGCCTCAGCAGGGTATAATGCCAAGGACCGTGGTCCCCAAGGGAACCGTTCTCTGTAGGTGAGAGGTCAGTTGTAAATGCGGGTGATCTCTAGCCCCTCCTGGAGGCTGCTGTGATGGCTGCTTCCTTCTCCTCCTCCCCGGGGGCAGGTTCAAGTGCGAGTTCTGCGACCACGTCTGCGAAGACAAGAAGCTGCTCCTCAACCACCAGCTCCTGCACATCAACGACAAGCCCTTCCGCTGCGGCCTCTGCTCCTACGCCACCGTGCGCGAGGACTTCCTGCTCTCCCACATGGCCGTCAAGCACACAGGTGAGAGCACCAGGCCGCGGGGAAGGGGGCGGGTGGAGGCGGCACCCCTTTGCCAGTTTGAACGGCTGGTAACAGGTGGCCGGGCCGTGCGCCACCTGCAGGCTTGGAAGGGGAGGAAGGCGGGAGCCCTGCCGGCCCTCTGGCTCCCCCCCCCCCTGCCCGCCCGCCCTCACTGAAGGCCTCGGCCTCGTCCTGCCTGCAGGAGGCAAGCCCTTTGCCTGCGAGCTCTGCCACTTCACCACCAAGCACAAGAAGAACCTGCGCCTCCACGTCCAGTGTCGCCACGCGGAGAACTTCGAGGACTGGGTGCAGCAACACCCGGAGGAGCCCCCCTGCCGCCGCCGCCCCTTCTTCACCCTCCAGCAGATCGAGGAGCTGAAGCAGCAGCACAGGCAGGGCCAGCCGGCCGCGGAGGCAGCCACCCCCCGCCCATCGGTGAGCACGCCCGTCTCTCTCCCTGCCATAAGGACACCAGAGGAGCCAAATGTTGGACCAGGCCCACAACCCCTCCCGTCCAGCACTCTCTCTCTGGGTCACGTCACACAGGGGCCGAAAACACCAGGGGCCCCCCCCCCATCGGGGGCCCCGCCCGTCTCTCTCCCTGCCATAAGGACACCAGAGGAGCCAAATGTTGGACCAGGCCCACAACCCCTCCCGTCCAGCACTCTCTCTCTGGGTCACTCACACAGGGGCCAGAAAACACCAGGGGCCCTCAGGAGGTCCAGTGGTGGGGCTAATAGCCACTGATGGACTTTTGCTCTTAACGTAAGAACATAAGAGGAGCCAATGTTGGATCAGGTCAAAGGCCCATCCAGTCCAACACTCTGTGTCACACAGTGGCCAGAAAGACCAGGGGCCATCAGGAGGTCCAGCAGTCCCACCCCCCCAAGCACCAAGAAGACAGAGCATCGGCTAATAGCCACTGATGGACCTCTGCTCCATATGCTTATCTAATTCCCTTTTGAAGCCGTCCATGCTTGTAGCTGCCACCACTTCCTGTGGCAGTGAATTCCATGTGTTAATTACTCTTTGGGTGAAGAAGTACTTCCTTTTATCCGTTCTAACCCGACCGCTCTGCAGTTTCATGGAGTGCCCACAAGGAGTTCTTGTATTGTGAGAAAGGGAGAAAAGTACCTCTTTCTCTACCTGCTCTTTCCCATGCATAATCTTCTAAACCTCAATCATGTCACCCCTCAGTCGTCGTTTCTCCAAGCTAAAGAGCCCTAAGCGCCTTAACCTTTCCTCATAGGGAAAGTGTTCCAACCCCTTT